TTAAGGATTACATTTTGAAAATAGGACAAATATAGAAAAACTAGCGGCTCAAATTGCCAGTGATGAACCATTGATCACTCCTAAAATACTGCCTCAACTGCTAACRATCTTGCAAAAACTTAAGGATAAAACATTGTTCAATAACTGGGACCATGTCCATGAATCTTTCAAAATTGACAAAACTCTGAGCAGTGGCCATTTGTTACCAATAACAAATGTATCCATTGACAAATTCGGAAATATGTGAGTAAATTTAATTTGAAATTAGGTAGGTAGATATTAGATATCAAAAATGATGGATGCATAATTATCTATATTCTATAAGACATAGTAATTATGGATTACCCATTAGACAATATTTGAGGAGAAACCTGTAAATTTTCTTGAATTTTAACAATGCACCACTTATTGAATAATTACTGTAGGTACCTATATATTAATTTAAAAAATTCCAACATTGATTTAATAAAAATCAGTCATTAATTTGATTTAATAATAACTTAGATACCAACTATGACTAATTAATTTGTTCGAACATTTGTTTTTAATTTCCAAATAAGTTTAAATTGTATTGTATTGTGATTTTTAGCCTCATTTTAAAAGGTTGTGGAAGCACAACATCAGGGTGGACCGAGGTACTCCTAATTTTCCATGCCAATACCAAATAGTGTGATATTACTAATTTTTGTAAAATCGAGTTAGGTATTTGAAGTAGATATTGAATAAATAGAAAGGAGTCGATCAAAGATTTTATTTCTTCAAAACGTTGTTTCCTAACAATAATACATCGTAAGGTAATAAAGTTAGGTACCTTATAATTTTTTTTTTCATAATCACGTACCTATTTTATATCCCTTACAATATTTCTGTATTAGAATATTCTGATATTTTTTTGTATTGTATTAATTACATATCACGTTATAACTTATTATTTCCTGTGTAGTAACTATAATATTAATATAGCAGTCAATAAGAAACTATTAGTTTACTAAAGTACGATGTTGGCATATCATGATCAAAATATTTATGCCCTTTAACTTAAATACCTAGATAGGTRATTTAATTAATTTTACAATAAAAATATAAATATATACAGGGTGTCCTGCAAGGATTTAATCATCACGACATCTCCCGAAATAATGGAAATATCAAAATTCTCGTTTTGTAATTAGACTCACATGGATAAGAACTAACTACAATTATTTAATGTTTTAATTTATTTTAATGTTTTGATAAAAAAAGTTAAAAGATAGGTATATTATTATTTTATGTAGTTATATCCAAAAAAATTGACTATAGCCATTTTGCAGAGTTTATTTTTCAGAAAATATTGACGTTTTAAAATTTTATTTTCGTTAATTTACTGATTTTAATTTATTTGTAGTATCGAGAAAAATTGTGAATTATTTAACACCATAGTGTTATKTTATCAAACATGTGAAAYGCCGCACCGCTCGCGTATTCGTACGGCCGGCCGAACGCTTTCAGTGTGCCTAGTTATAATCATATTTTATTTCTTCAGTTCTTCAAAACTAGAAAAAATTTTAAAAATCAGGAAATTAATGAAAATAACCTTTTTACCAAAACATTAAAATTTAAAATAAATTAAAAGATGGAATAATTGTGGTTCTTATAACTTTTATAACAAAACCAGAATGTTGATATCTCTATTATTTCGTGAGATATCGCAAATTCGCAATGGTAAATCCTCGCGAGACACTGTATAATATACTGTATAATATAATTATATTATAATTCATGACGTTTGATTAAAACCATCTAGTAGGTATAGATATTTATACTAAAAAAAAGTCTAACTTTGCGACCTTGTTCATGATTTAAATCGATAAACTAATATATGTACACGTATATCATAGACATTCATAGTACATGATAAACCACAAAGTAATTAAATTTATAAAAATGAATGTTTGTTTGTTTGTTTGTTCGTTATCTATAAATTAAAAAGTCTTTTAGTCTATAGATTAAAAAACATGTTGTATTAAATTTTAATAAWAATTATATCAATTGATTTCTTGAGACTCTGTAGAAGTTTTAGCTTCATTTTTAATCGCAATGTGGTGGGCGGTAACTCATACAGTCACACATTTATTTCAGACTTCAGTTCACGAAAATCGAATATAATAATATTTTTCATAATATAGATAATATAGGTTATAGTGTTGTCATTATTTACAGATAATATAATGGTTATTATGATTGGATATAATTGTTTGTATAACTATTATTGTATATTTTGTATTAATTAGTACATTACTTGGTTAATAAATCTATTATATATAAGCAGCGCCAGATAGGCAAGGTATATTGGCCCACCAAGGTTCAGAATTTTAACCGACCATAAAAAAGTTATCACACAGTTTTTCATCATAATAGGTTTTTACTATTTATTTATTATTATTCATAATATTTCAATATTTAGAGTTAGGGGTATTCAGATATTTTCGGTCATACCTATACCATATTACTGTGAGCCAGCCCAAATTTTTCGTGGCCTAGAGTGTTTAACTCGGTAACTCGCCGGACTTGTATATAAATGTAAAGTTAAGTAACAGCTATTATATTATACATATTAGACTATTAAAGACAAAGTCTATGATCCCTCCTATGTATAGTGTGACTGTAAAATTCTTATCTCGGCTATATACAGTATGCACTCACCCTCTGTTCCGTTTTATCGTCTAATACTCAACATTCCGAAATTTTTCCCAAAACTGCATTATATAATTTACAAGTACAAGAAAATATTGTTCTATACGTCAACAAAATTTGAAGCACATAATATTGCCTATACTCAACGCCTGGACTTGTATAGCAATAAAGTAATATTAGTAATATTGTGTACTTAAASTACCTACCAACCACGGGCTAAATTACCTGTAGTCAGTATAGCACTTATATCATTAGTATATTTCAATAATTAGTTGAAATAAATATGAATTACCGGATTTGCGCGTGTACTTCAGTTGCGCCACTGGAAGCTACGACCGGACGTGCAAGATTTGGAACACCCGGACTGGCGAGGAAACGTCGACGCTCGTCGGGCACGAGAACGCGGTGTACATTGTGTCATTGGCCATCGCGGAAAGGTTAGTATCACTTGCTGTATGCCCACTTAAAGCAACAATACCCACCATGATGCCATATGACTAAGTAACTTTCATTCAGAGAAGAGAGATGATACATGACCCACTGAATAACTATACATGCTGCACAATCCATATAACCATAAGTATATTATATCTCTATATACAGGGTCATTATTTTAAAGCAGAATACTCGATATATTATGTACTCAATATATAGGAAAGTCATTCACTATAATTACAGCTACTATAACTATATGTAGGGTCTGAGCGGCATGTGATAGAATAATCATCCTGTACAGAGACACCCCAGACGCTATATCGGTAGGTACTTACTCTTAAAATCATCTCTGCAGGTCCAAAAGTATCTTAGACACACATACTCACCCTCAAGCATTAGTCTTCTCGCCGAACAAAGCTGCGAAGACGTGTGTGAGTGAAAAATCTGAACCAAACTCAATTTTCCAGGGTGCTGACCGGATCGTTTGACAAAACGGCGCGGATATGGTCGCTGGACAACGGGGGCGAATGCTTATGCACCATGCGTGGACATTCAGCCGAGGTAGTCGCGGTGGCCGTTTATCAGCCCACGCAGACAATAGCCACTTCGTCAATGGACCAAACAACCAAGCTGTTCAGCAGCGTTACAGGTCAGTGTTGCTGCAGAGCCTGTAAATTGTGCTAATAAATTAGCAATTTATAGCTATCATGCAAGGAGAAGCCACGTCGTGGACTAAGTTATTACTTATGATAAAGGGCCCGGATAACTCTTGGACTATTGGGATGCAGTTTTTACGGATTAATAGTTTAAGCACTACTGTTTCCTTCCACAATGATAATAATATTATCCTATAATTTCCTTATAAAAAATCTTAATTAACTGTCACC